CCAAGCAGCATCAGAGGAGCAGGAAGAAGGGTCTCTAGGCCCGAAACGTCAGCTTTCCTGCTCCTCAGACGCTGCTTGGCCTGCTGTGTTCATCCAGCTCTACACCGTGTTATCTCAGATTCTCCAGCATCTGCAGTTCCTACTCTCTCCATCAGGGTACAGCACTGCTTGAAAATAATTGCTGAGTGGTTTTAGTTACTTCTGAAGCTGCTGGCATGTCATTTCATGAGGATTCAAACCAGATGCACAGCAACTGTTGCACTTGCCTTCACAAAGCTACATAATAATTTTCAGCCTAGTTGTTTTAAGATTCCAGAGCAAACCACAGAATTGAAGGGACAGTCTACACTGCAGGGTCCCAACAATAAAGCTTCAGAACAACAAGCAATTTGAGACAAAAACAAAAACCTTGCTCCCTTTTCCACATCCAGTTGATATTCTATAGAACGCTGCCTCGTCAAGCGCCAAATCCTGATTGACACCCAATGTGGAGAATGCAAACGGTTTACAGTATGGTGTTCATGAGTACCTGCCGCACTGGAAGCACTTTCTCCAGGTCATTCAAGGTAATATTTCCATCCTCTTCAAACTTTCCCTTCACCATCCTGCACAAATGACGAGAAGAGGAGCAGCATTAGGTTGGAGACTTTCAATCGACATAGTCGTAAAGGAAAGGCTGATGTTCTAGCAAGAAGATGGAGTATTTTTGACAGCTGGAACTCAGTATGCAGCTTTGCCCCAACACTAACAATGAATAAATTTGTTTGTAGAATATATCTATTTCCCTTAATAAATACCATTTGAAAGTTTGAAAATACATCAGTTTTTCGTCCCATCCCAGTCTGGTGCTGCAATTTAATTTTTCCATCCACGTATTCACTGTAGAATTTCCCTTTCAATATATTCAGTTTGTCTTACCGCAGAGTGGGGAGAAAATCAAAACAATGACCCATTAAGTGAAAAATTAAGTTGCGCTTGATCCTCCCAGTAGAATTCTTTGTGGTAGCTTAACCAAATGCATCACAGAAAGCAGAACTAGGAACAGCCAAGGAAAGCTTATTTAAAAATGAGAAATCAGTATTTCTGAACCAGCATTAAGATGGTGATAGCGTGGGAGTAGAGTTCTCTCATAATTTCCTTTAACAGCTACCTGTTTTTCTCCAAGCCATTTACCTGTTCCAGTGAAATCAACTTCCCTAAATATACTGCCTACAACACTCTGTTTAAAGAGTAATGAAACATCAAAATTATTTTGTTTTTAAATTTGTGACCTTCAGCAAAGCCATATCAACATAAGCAGCTCTCCATTGGGATAATTCAAAGATCAGTGTTTTTGGGTTGGAGTGTAAAGAAACGGGAAAATTGGCAGATTTTTCTCTTCCAACAAGAAGCACAGCATTAGTCCAGAGATTTTCAATCGTCACAGGCATAAAGGACAGGCTGATGTTCTAACAAGAAGGTGGAGTATTCCTGATAGCTGCAACTCACTACGCAGCTTTGCCCCAACACGGACAATGAATAAATGCATTTGCAGAATGTGCCTATATCCTGTGAAGTGTTCTCAACTGAAGTATTTTCTGTGAAAAGCAGTGGTTAGCACTGCTGCCTCACAGCGCCAGAGACCTGGGTTCAATACACTGGCTGTGTAGAGATTGCACATTCTCCCTGTAACTGCATGGGTTTCCTCCAGATGCTCCAGTTTCCTCCCACAGTCCAAAGATATTCAGGCTAGGTGGACTGGCCATGCTAAATTGCCCATAGTGTCCAGGGTTGTGCAAGTTAGGTGGATTAGCCATGACAAATGCAGGGTTATAGGGATAGAGTAGGGGTTGGGTCTGGGAGGGATGCTCTTCAGAGGGTCGGTGGGGACTCAATGGGTCAAATGACCTGCTTCTACACTGCAGGGATTCTACGAACATTTATTGATCGACTGGATCATGTAGGTGCAGCATGCAAAGGAAAATCAAATATGGAAAAGCACACACTCCTTTCCACAAATACATATGTGTTTACAAGCAAATTGAAAGAGCATTATGGAAAGAAAGTTGCAAGTAACATCAAATCCAACACGAGTAAAAGGGAGTGGTCCATGAAAACTCATATATATGATACAATCAATTAAAATAAAGAAATGAAGGACATGTTGCATAATTACTTCCAGTATTGACGGTAGAGGAAGATGATAGTATGCTAGACATGCCAAAGAGAAAGGAGTTACAGCTACACCTGGTTCTTGGGAATGAGATGGACTATGTTTCAGTGGGAGGACATTTGAAGGACAGCAATCTTTGCATCATTAAGTTTAGGTGGAATGTACAAAAAAGGACAAGGAATGATCCAGAATAAGAATAATTAACCAGGGAAATGCCAACTCCAACAGGGTGACAGTGGGTCAGAAAAATTGGAATCAAAGGTTAGCAGGCAAAATGATATCTGAACAATGGTTTGTCTTCAGTTTGAGCACAAAGTATGTTCCCATGAAGTGGAAAGGCAGGGCATCCAAATCCAGATGTCCCTAGATGACGAAAGAGATAGAGGTTAAGATGAAAAAGGAAGAAGTGTGCTTATGAAAAAGAGATGGATAATATGACTAAGAATTAGGCTGAATATAGAAGGTTCAGAGGGGAAGTACAAAGCCCACAAGGTCTGCAAAGCGAGAGTGTGAAAAGAGACCAGAAGCCAACATAAGTGAGGCCATAATTTTCCAAACTTGCTTAAATTCAGGATGGTGCCAAAGGGCCAGAGAATTGCAAACGTTACACTCTTGTCTAAAGAAAGTGTAAAGGTAAGTAAACCAACCAACTTAACTTTGTTATATATGCAATATGACACAACAAAATTAAGTGCCACTTGGGAAAAGGCATGTCAATTAAAGACAGTTAGTATGGATTCATTCAGGAAAACAACAAAATGCTGGTGAAACTCAGATCTGGCAGCATCTGTGAAAAGAGAAACAGAATTAATATTTGAATTTTATTATAATGTTTGGTTCAGGCAAGTTCCTTTCAGCAGGAGCGAGAGGGAGAAGGCTGTACTGGGGATGATTTAAAATCAAGTGTGGGGGTTTCTAAGGCCCAGTTTTGGTTCGGACACATTCCTTTCAGGAGGGGCCAGCAGCCATCCATTCCGGGGAAGCTCCCTGCTGTAGACCCAGGGTGATATGGGAGCAGAGTTTCTGATTTGTCGGTGCTAGTGAGGCACTAATTTGCATTAATACATTTATTCCCTTGGTGCTACAGGTGATAGAATCTCACTACAGTACAGGGAAAGTGTCCAGTTAGTTCATCTTCTGCTTAGTTAGAGGGAAGTTAGATAGTAAGTTGAGGGGGTTATTTGCTAGAAAGTAATAACTGTAATCATTAGGTAGCTAATTAAAATTTAACTTGTAAACTAACAGCCAATGAGGGTTAGTCATGTCACTTGGTTGAGTTTTGTGTTCCACCTGTGAGATGTGGTCAATTATGGGCTCTGACAGTATCCTCGATAATTAGATCTGCAGGAAGTGTACCCAGCTTCAGCTGCTCACCGAACAAACAGATCAACTTCAGCAGCAAAGAGACTCTACGAAGCAAACAAATGGTGGAGAGTGTCATAGACTGAAGTTATAGAAACGTGGTCACGCCCAAGGTACAGGAAGATAGATGGCTGACAGCTAGATGGGACAGGCGATCAGTGCAGCAGTTCCCTGCAGCTGTCCCCCTGTTGAACAAGTTTTCTGTTTTGGAGACTGATGGGGGGGCGCAGGGGGGTCCATCAAGACAGCATCATCATCAGCATCAGCCAGACCAATGGCACCACGGCTGGCCCTGCTGTGCGGGGAGCAGCGGGGGGACAATGTGTAGTAGAGCAATAGGAATTTGAGATTCAATCGTCAGGGGTATAGATAGGCACTTCTGTGGCCATGAGAGACACCTCCAGGATGGTACGTTGCCTTGCTGGTGCCACAGTTATGGATGTCTCTGAGTGGGTACGGGGCATTCTGAAACAAGAGAGTAAACAGACATTGTCCATATTGGCACAATAGAGCATAGAACAGTACAGCACAGTACAGGCCCTTCGGCCCACAATGTTGCGCCGACCTTTTACACTAATCCTAAGGTCTATCTAACCTCCACCCCTACCTAATACTATCATCCATATGCCTGTCTAATAGCCGCTTAAATGGCCCTAAATGAGGCCAACTCCACTACCCTCTCCGGCAATACATTCCACGCCCCGAACACTCTCTGAGTAAAGAACTTACCTCTGACGTCTCCCCTATATCTACCTCCACTCACTTTAAAACTATGCCCCCTCATAATAGCTACCTCCACCCTAGAAAAAAGTCTCTGGCTGTCCACTCTACCTATACCTCTGATCATTTTGTACACCTCTATCAAGTCATCTCTCATCCTTCGTCATTCTAAAGAAAAAAGCCCTAGCTCTCTCAACCTTTCCTCGTAAGACCTTCCCTCCATTCCAGGCAACATCCTGATAAATCTCCTCTGCACCTTTTCCAACGCTTCCACATCTTTCCTGTAATGAGGCAACCAGAACTGGACACAATAGTCCAGATGTGGCCAAATCAGGTTTTTGTATAGCTGGAGCATAACTTCACGGCTCTTGAACTCAATCCCTCTGTTAATGAAAGCTAACACACCACACACCTTCTTAACAACTCTATCCACCTGGGTGGCAGCTTTCAGGGAACTGTGGACATGAATCCCAAGATCCCTCTGCTCCTCCACACTGCCAAGAATCTTTCCATTAACCCTGTATTCTGCTTTCAAGTTTGTCCTTCCAATATGAATCACCTCACACTTTTCAGGGTTAAACTCCATCTGCCACTTCTCAGCCCAGCTCTGCATCCTATCAATGTCCCTTTGTAACCTAGAACAGCCCTCCGCACTAACCACAACTCGACCCATCTTCGTATCGTCCGAGAACTTGCTAATCCACCCTTCCACTCCTTCATCCAAATCATTTACAAAAATCACAAATAGAAGAGGACCCAGAACAGATCCTTGTGGTACACCACTCGTAACTGAGCACCATGTTGAATATTTTCCGTCCACTACCACCCTTTGTCTTCTAAGGGTCAGCCAATTCTGAATCCAATCTGCGACATTTCCCCCTGTCCCATGCCTCCTTACCTTCTGCATGAACCTACCATGGGGAACGTTATCAAATGCCTTACTTAAATCCATGTATACCACATCCACTGCTCTACCTTCATCCACGTGTTTGGTCACCTCTTCAAAGAATTCAATAAGGTTTGTGAGGCATGATCTACCCCTCACAAATCCATGCTGACTATCACGAATCAAACTGTGCCTATCCAAGTGATCATAAATCCTATCTCTTAGAGCCCTTTCCAATAATTTGCCCACCACTGATGTAAGACTAACTGGCCTGTAATTTCCAGGGTTATCCCTATTCCCTTTTCTGAACAAGGGAATGACGTTTGCCTCTCTCCAATCTTCCGGCACTATACCCGTGGACAGTGAGGACAAAAAGATCATCGCCAAAGGCCCTGTGATCTCTTCCCTCGCTTCCCATAGAATCCTTGGATAAATCCCATCAGGCCCGGGGAACTTATCTATCTTCAAGTTCCTCAAAATTCCTA